TCGAGTCGGCATATAGCCACAAGCACCATCCTCCTTCTTCATGCAACATATGCATTGGCGACTCGGATGTTTTAACTGGTATGATTTGTGGACAAGCCCGTTCGGCGAGCTGCAAAGAACTTAGGTGCGATATTGGAAGGTCTGTAGCTCGCAAGCGACAAAGGGAAGCAACTGGTAATCAAGTGAATCTGTATCCGGCTGTGCACTTTGGGAAATTTGGCTCCGGAGATAAGGTTATGAAGTCGGGGGAGGACCGTGACCGTATTGCACGCAGTGAAGGAATTATTGCTTTCGAGATGGAGGGGGCGGGAGCATGGGACATTCTGCCTTGCGTGATTATCAAAGGTATTTGTGATTATTCTGACAGTCACAAAGATAAGAGGTGGCAAGCATATGCCGCTTTGACGGCTGCGGCCTGCACAAGAGCTTTCCTAGAGGGTTGGCGACAATAGCCTATATAAAGTAATAATTTATATAGCTTATAAATTTAAATAAATACTAATTTTTCTCTCTATTTTTAAGAGAAAGTATATTATCTTTCTTTATAAAGTCTATTAAATTTAGAAATATTATATTAAGAGGGCGAGATAAATATTTACTATAGCCTATTAAATTTATAAGTAGTTTAATTTATATATATAAAGTATATACCTTAAATCCTTTCAAGAGATTTAGCAAATAATGCTGCATCACTTGGGTCCAAAAGAGCTATTGGCTCTGATTGCGTAGAAGCAGTAATTAAAGTGCTTTGTGCCTGGACTGCAGCTTGATGATTTTGTGGATACATAGTAGCATACCTGTAATGATAGTTAGCATCGAGATAGAATGGCCTATAATGATAGACAGCTAGACGCTCACATCGATAATTCACTATGGGTTGCATAGTGGCCTGGACCATAAAGAGATCTGAGACCTTTAGGAGAAGTTTCCGGATTGGCAATTGGACTGTTTATATTTGCAAGTGATATGTTGGTCCATGCTCTAGTATGCTTTCTCGCAAAGTCGGCCAATATCTCGCATTTCTGGTCCTCTGCTCCTCCAGTGTGATCTCGTGATATCGTGTAGTGGCATCTTTCAAGATTAGAGTTTGGTGGACTCGTGGTGTTGGTTTGTGCAGCCTGGCCAGGCTGGGCACTTTTGCCCTTCTGCAAACCAGTATCGAAAAGCTCGTCGTGGCAGAGATGTCCGATATTGCGCTTGATGCATCTGGTGCACGGTCTCCCATGATCGCAAGACATGTGAGACCGTCGACAGTATACACAAGCGTGGTTCTGGAGGTTGCCATGCCCGTGCCGACGGTATAGATCGCGTGAAACAAGACCCGGCGGCTGCTGGCTTGGCGGAGCTAAGCTCCCATTCGCTGTTAACACTTCGCGAAGATCCATGTTCGAGAGTTATGGAGGCGCCGGGGAAATACGAAGCTAAATTCTAGTCCACAGAAGTAAAAACTGAAGAAAAAGCGATGTCCTGTTTCCAAACGAGGCTGGCGCTTACATGCACTTTGCTATTGGTTATCGGTGGTGAGCACATGACGCAAATGTGCATATTAGGCAGACACAGCGGCTGAAAGAACAGCGTGAATCTCACTTTTCCGACCCATCTTCGTCTTTCACCATTAATCACGGCCCAAGCACTATTTCAATTGAGTCCTTTACCAATTCGTTCTGCCGTGGCCAAGATTCTGCATCTCATTTGCATCCAGCTATGGATAGCTTCTCAGGCACAGTCTTCAGACCACAAGGCGATGTTTCGAAACCGTCTTCGACAAATGGCGAAGACACTGAAGATGACTCCGGTGAGTGCATACCTCGCCCGTTTGGTTGAGATCCCAACTAAACCTCAGAACGACCTAGATATCCACCAGCTGGTATCTCAAACCCGTCGCAAAGCACCAATGATGATTGACTGGCGTCGGAAAATTTGCAGTTTCCTTAACATGCCGAGCACCTGCACTGACGATGAGATAATCGAGGAGCTCGAAATCAAGGACAAGCTCTTGAGAGAATCTGAGTCCTTGAAGCGGCTGGCCTGTTCTGATCAAGGACCGCCCAGAGTTCAAATCATCAATCGAATCACTTGTCAAAATTCCGACGAGCAAGGTCTCTACCTAGATGAACCTTGGCTTGTCGAAAATGGCCCTTATCGAGCTCATCTGCGTTGCAGTCGATTGGTCGATAACCTGGACCTGTATCTTGAGCGGAACAAGGACATTGTTTGTATTGCTTACCGTGACTATGAGTGCTGTGGCAAGCCACCGCCGGTCCCAGATCCTGGTCAATTTGAACTTCTCGTCAGGGAAAATGTTGACATTGTCTCAGATGAATTGAGGGCTGCTTGGAACCATCTTGCTGTAGCGGTCAACGAAGACGCCGGATCTCCTACTAACATTTCTCGAGAAAGATTCGACCCGGAGGATGAAAATGGTCGTGTACAAGAAACCCAGCATCCATATCTCTGGTGGTTTCAGCATCGCAACAGAATCGAGAGAGTAAAGTCCTATCTCAGCCAGGAATCCAAAAATCAACTAGAAGCTTTTCAACACTACTTGAAGGTTTATCTCGGTGATGAATGGGCCAAGGTCGATTCCCTGATCCGCGAAGGCAAGATTACAGCCAAGTACCTATCGTATCTTTTTGTGAGTCCTAGCTACTATCCTCCACACAGGCTTCGCAAGTCTTATGTAACACAGGCTCCTGGGCAAGTCATCATCTCAAAACTTAAGGGATTATCTGTGGCTCAGTGGCAAGCCTATACGGCTACCAGTTGGCTTGTTATGTATGGCAGTCCAACAACCAAAAGCGATTTCCAGACATCAATCAAAGTAAGCTACTGGGATTTTGATGGCAACTTCCAACGATTCAATTCTACTCTCAATATCTCAGGTCTGCCCTCTTTAACAGAAGAGTTCCTTATCAACGCCATGATGGTCTTCCCGATGGAGTACGCCGATGACGGTACTGTTTGTAACCTGAGACGGCGTGGCGAGATGTTTTGGAAATGTCGACATCGCAAATATGTTTGCGTTCGGGGAAGTCCTGAAGACCATCTTTACGGTGCAGTTAGTCGTTATTTGCTATCCTCAAGGATGAGTACTCACAAGCGCATAGAATTCCGGTTCTCGATACATGATCGACAGAGCAACTTTCAGACAGATGCACCCTCCTACAAGCGGTCAACAAGTACCTGTCCGCTACCGCGATGACCTCGGACCTGAGGTAATGGCCCAGGACGAACCAGTGCCCGACTTGGGAGATGGATTTTACATGTGCCTCCCCACATCTCTTTACGGCTTCAACATGCAAAAGAAGGACTGGGGTAAGGCTTAAGTTGGCTGATATAATCCCAGAATACGCTAACACTTCTTCAGTTAAGTTGGAAGTTGATTTGTTAGAGGATGTAACTTGGAACGAGGAGGCTTTCGACCTACTAGTTATGGAACGCCAGACGAAGGAGCTGGTTGAAGCAGTGGTGACAAACCACTTAGGCGAGGACAGGGATACGGATGTGATTCATGGGAAAGGAAATGGGCTCTTTATACTACTTCATGGGTAGGTGCCTACGTCACCTATGCCCTGGATCCCTGGAAACTGACCGCGCATGTAGAGGCCCTGGTACCGGGAAGACTCTCACTGCAGAAAGGTATATTTTATATACCTGATTCTAGCGGAACATTCTAACAGAAATCTAGCGTTGCTGAGATCGCCAAGAAGCCTCTATACAGAGTGACCTGTGGCGACGTCGGCACCAAGGCTGAAGAAGTAGAACGTGTATGGACATCTCAAGCCAGCAAATTATTGAAGTACGCTCACCCTTTCAGTATCTTGAAGTCGTGTCACTTCTTGGGAAGACGTGGGGATGTGGTGAGTAGCCACTTCATTAGTCGTATGCCTTACTTACTTCTTTCTAGTGGTACTACTAGACGAAGCCGACGTGTTCCTTGAGCAGCGGAAGCTAGATAGTCTTGAACGGAATGCCCTGGTCTCAGGTAACATAATGCAATCAATTCATTTGGCGGGTTATTTGCTGATAGTTGCTTTAGTATTTCTCAGAGTACTGGAGTACTACGATGGTGTGTAAACCACTTTCCAATTCGACGTCTCACTCTAACTAAACGCGCAGGAATTATGATCCTTACTAGTAATAGGGTCGGTATATTTGACGAAGCTTTCAAATCGCGAATTCAGCTCAGTCTACGATATAATGATTTGGAGAAAGACCAGCGGCGCCAGATCTGGTTAAACTTTATCAACCGGCTCGAGAAGCTTGAGTCCCAGCGCATAGCGCAGGCAAGTCAGCCATCCCTCCCTAATATTCTAAGCACTCCTCAAACTGCTCCGAGACTCGGAGTGGACATCGGGAGTATGCGAGATCAGCTTGATGATCTCGCGGAGGCTCCCCTCAACGGCCGCGAGATTCGAAATATGATTTCAACCGCACGGCAGCTTTCTGTCTTTCGTAAGGAGAAACTTGGTTATCAGCACCTTGAGTCAGTCATGGCTGAGGCAAAGAAGTTTGGAGAGTACATTAAGCGCCTTCATAAAGGATACACATCGGATCAGATTAAGAGAGGTCAGAAGGAACGATAGCTCCTTAGATATCTTTTTTTGTATCAGACTCTTTCACTTCTTGACAATTAGAGCAAACTTTAAAATCAAATCTCATTGATGAGATTGACTGCTATCAGACCATAAACAGTGGAAGCCGCCCAGCATAGTGTAGTCGTGCGATTAAATATATGTACCTGGCCATCGGATGAAACCAGGAGTTGACTTGGTAGCCAATTCAACAATAAGTCTAACTCTAGTGTCTTGTTTGTGATTGGGCGCCTTATTCTTACCTCTGGCCAATGATTAGGTAGATGTAAGCGCCAGCTTGACTTTGGGAAATGACAACGGCTAGGACACGTTCCTCTTCCAACCTTACCAGACAGCGTCACCGCTATCTTTCGTCAGGATTGCGCCCCGACCCAAGACATAGAACCTCAGATATCGGGCCTGATGATGTCTAACAGCCCGCAGATACTGGGGCAGGTTAACAGGGGCAGGTCCCTACAGCCCTCCAGAGCAAACGTCCCGGCAGGCTCACCCACCGTGGCCATCGAACAACCCAAACTATCCTTCCCCGACCGACTTTTATTTGGTAAATACGGCTCGATTCTTAAGAGCAACAAAGCCACCAAGGTCAAGGTAGACAACAAGACAAGCGTTAGCAGTGATGGCATCACCATGCTTGAAATGGTGGGATCCAGCGACAACAATGCGGGGGCTGTTAACTGGGATGACGTCATTACTGCCGACAGGCTCGCTGAGAAGCTGGCTGAAGAGGAGGAGACGAAAGAGGAAGCTTATATTAAAAAACTAATGGCTGAAGATGCGCCGCTCAAACCTGCCATAAAGCGCCGCAACAGAGACTGTCAGCGAGATTCACGCCTCAAGAAGTTCCATAAGGAACGACAAGACAGGGATATTTATTCAAATGACTTCTTCCTACCAAGCTCGCTACCAGAAGGGCAGGGCTATTCTCAACCAGAAGCCTATGGTTCCCTCCCGCCTCACCGTAATACATACATATTACTGGATTGCAGACTTCGGAGCACCCACTACACAATTTCACAAGACCACACTTCCGGGCAAGAGGCTCATGAGGATAACCTCCTAGCCAGCTTTGGGAAACGACGTCGGACAGACAAGCCTTCTATACGTCTAGGCGGGAGCAGATTATTGCAGCGCTCGCCGAATTTCTTGCCAAGCTTGGCAAACGGTAGTGACGTAGTAGCTCAAGATGAAGGGTCTCACATGCAGGAATTTTCAACAGCCGACTTTGATTACTTGGACTTAATGGCGCCGCTTGGATCACAGATGCGAAAAGATGCAGTATCCTTCCCCCAAGAAACCGCTACAACTAAGCCCAACGAGGGGAAAGACAGAGGGGATCAGATCGAGTTTGAGTGGGCTCGCAAGAGAGAACGGCGTCGTCCAGTACAATCACGTCCAGGGAATCTTGGGCATGGCAGCCAGCATTCCATCCTTGTCGGCACGTCTTGGGTCAGCAAGAGTGGCGATAGATCCCCAGTGACCTTGAGGCGTCGATGTCATAGCTGTAATCGAATTGTCAGCAGTGAATGGCGACATGGGCCTGACGGAGCTGAAACACTTTGTAATGCTTGCGGGTTGCATTATGCTAAATTGGAGAGAAGGCGTAATTAAGTTGATGCTGTAATTAGTAAGAGACCTTTGGGTTTGAAAAGCAATGGCATGCTGCAAAACATCGCAAGTCATATTGCGTCGGCTTGCCTTTCAACCTATGAATTCAACCCATGATTGGTGGTTGGTTATGACGTAAAAGCAAGCGCTAGCCCAGTCTGCGTTATGTAGGATATCCCTCCTTCAAAAGATCTCACCGTGACCAATCAAGTATTTTTCAAACTTCTAAGAGCGACCTTCCTCGTGTAAGGACTTCTCACTGAGAAGAAAGACTCAAATTTAGACCACAGAACCCCAGGTAGGCAACTAGGCGATGCCAAACACTCTGCAGATGGCGCTGGACGTTCACGGATTTCCTTCATTTTTATATAAACCAGACCAAATACGGAGTTTGAGAGGACTGAGCAAGGGGGAGAAGTCGAAGTATGAAGATTTGTTAGATGATCTTTGGACAATGGGCAATGGTTTCCCTGAGACCAATCGGGAGAACCACGCTACCCTTGATCAAATGATAGAACTCACAGAAAGCATTATCGCCAGGATACGAAAAAGACGTTTCCAGACGACGGAGAGACAGAGCGCCCAGAACTAGCAGGCTGAAATCAACCTCCAAGCCTCGGCAATCTCACAACTACGAATCTTTGGAATACATAAGCTATTTTTACAGTCACTGGCTGATAGAAGGAATCATTACACAATATCACAAGACCATACCTCAGGGGTTAAAGCTTATAAGCACGACATATTACCTACCATGTTGCCTAAAGTCTATTAAACAAAGAACCCGTTTTCACTCCTTAGGTGGCTTACCTAGTTGTTTGCACCTATATTCGCCACTGAGGTATCTACTTAACTTAGTAAGTTACACAATTATATTTACCGTGACCTTCAAGCAGGGATTATGGCCCAAGTCTTAGCTACTTGGCATGTGTTTTGCCAGCCATTTGTGACAGTCACATCAAGCAGCCAGCAGTATCCACAGGATCCTCAACAGCTGATTATGGATATTTATAAACTTAAAGTGCGGAGTCTAGAGTAGCCTCAACAGGCTAAAAAGAGCTAAAGGGCTTTTCTCAGGCGTGTAATGCATTCAATATAAGCTAAAGTACGGTGTACTTAAGCTATGGCTATGATTATTCTCTCCTGTATTAATTGTTCAAACTCAGTAGTCGTATAGCCAGTCGAATGCATAAAGGTATGTGATATCGACTTGCATGAGTGTGCTCCACTATAGCCTGGAACACCTACGAATGCAAAAGTCTTTTCTTTTGATTTGCCTCTCGGACTGGAATGGTGTGTTATGGCCGAAATAGTGGGCTCTGGGCTGGCTGACCTTAACCAACATTGATCCCTAGCCAGCCACGATAAGCCACTCTCTAGGGGTTCTATGCTCATTTTCAGCCAAGCCCTCAAAAGCTTTAAAATCAGCCAACAACCATAGTGAAGTTATATTAGACAAGGAATGTGATATAAGGTATGGAACATGGCTATGTCTAAAGCCTCTGGCAGGGAAATAGAGTGATTTGCCTGAAGTTGCGTTGCGACATATTTTCAGCTTCACTAGCCCAAGCCATAATCATACGTCTCAAGGCTTATCACATCACAAACCAGATTGATGGCTAAGAACAGCGGATCAAAAGTTCCATTAACAAGGCTCTTTTAGGCACTTGACGTAAGATATTGTCAACCAGCATGGAACCTGGCGGCGCTAGACATGAGATCGTAAACTAGAGGAGAGTCACCGACCAACTGATCCGGGGAATGACAGGGTGGCTCAGGTCGTTGCATGAATGAAACTTTCAAGTCAGATTTCTCTCTTTTTTAATGCTTGAGTCCATTCCTGACGGAGAGCCTAGCGCAGTCCATAGGGTTCCGTTTCACAAGCAGTATACATATTTTTTAACACACCAGAGGCTCACTTGTCGTCTTTTGCGGTTCATATCACATCTCACATTCTCCAAGGGCTTGTCGCCTCTTTGCACCCCGTGCAGGACGGTTTTCACTTAACCTTTAGTACACCGCAAATATCTCAAAGCTTTCGCGTTAGCTTTCAGGATTGGCAATTACAATGCTCTCAAGAACAATGGACACATAAAAATAGGATGACTTTGTATGAGATGCTCATTTATCTGATATGGAATATTTTGGCTTAATTCACGTCTGCAGTTCTCCACACTCCGTCATCATCCCTGAATTTAAGCTGTCGTGATACAACTTTCTTTGGCCCAGTAAACCTGCTCGATTCTTGCTCTGTGTTCGCCGATAAAAGCCTTAGGTGCGGTGAAAGCTCTTCATATATCTTTCTCATAGCGAAGGCGTCGATCTGGAGAGGCTCTTCACATTGAGGTTTTGTCAAAGGTGGAGGCTGGCATGGTTCCGCCGACACATCCACTGCACTGACCATAGCAAGGATACCAATGAAGCCTGAAGAAACTTTGCGAAACTCCTCCGTCTTCCACCTAAAGTATATGACACTGATCTGGGTTCGCTGTTGACCGTTTAATTCGTCCGTAAAGTGGTCGTCCCATGCCAATTGAATCATGGAGCCAGGCTTTGGATTGGTCGATCTTACGACGGGTTTGATACGGTCGCAGCACGCCCGCCATCCGGGTGGGCTGTTACGTCTTCTCAAGTAATCTAGCAAAGTTGTCTTCCACGAGTCCTCGTCTGGGGGAAGGAGTTCGAAGAACTTGTTCTGTCTGATCACCGCGCTGATGGGGGCAGCCGATCGTTTGTGACTGCCAAGGGCTATGTAAGTCATGGGGCACCAGAATTCCAGGTTTTAGATACTCACATCATTTGCCTTTGTGTACGACACATTCTCTCCTCTATCCATTGCATAGCAAGCTCACAGTGTTCAGGTGGCTCCCCAAATAAGAGCTTCCATATTTGTTTCATAAAGCCCCAGATAGGTCCAAGCACCTCTCCTACCCTCTTGACCAGTGTCTGAACCAAGCCTTTGATCTGTTGCAAGACGAAGGATATACCATTATCCACCAGTTTTGCGCCTATATTGGCTAGGTTCGTTGTGAGAAATGTTGCCTTTTCTTCAAGCCATCCCGTCCAAGACTGAAGGAAGGCCGGAATGATGGACCGCAGAAGGCTGAACAACTTCTGCTGAGCCTGTAGAATAAACTCATTGACTGCCCTGATAGCCGCTGTCTTAGCAGCCTCGACCTTTTGAACTGCAATCTCGATGGCCGCATTGACTGCCTCGGTGATATCAACACCATCATCTGCGGCAGAGGAAGCAAGTTCTGTGATTTCATCCTTGACTTCTTGAAGCTTGTCGTCGAAGCTGGGGATCAGTTCTTCCAGCTCACGACACATGGTCTCTGCTGTGCCACTGATCTCTTTCAGAACTCTTTGGGCTGCCGATTCGGCAGCCTTTCGAGTCTCTTCTTCAAGCTTGCGCCGTATATGCTCAGCAGTGTCTGAAATTTGCTGTACTGATGACGCTGCGACTTCCGCAATCTTGTTGAACGCGTTTGTGATGCTGTCAAAAAACCCCATGATGTAAATAAATCCGATGACTGGCTGTGGTTTTGATCCGCTGGCTTGAGTTGACTGTCGTGGGCAATATAGTCTGTCGGGAAAGGATCAAGAGGTACGAAGTGTAGCGACCAACTAGGACAGAATTTAGAATCCCCGTCACAGAGGTCTAGGCGGTACATCAAAGCGCCATGTTGGGCCGTCACTCTTTGAGACGCACAATTCCCACGACGCACTGAAGAGATACGAATGGACATACTTGATCTAGCGTCATTGAACTCAGATTCCAGTCTCGTGGTGCAATCAAAAATTAATGAAACCCAAAGTGAATAGTTCGCGCTGACTTAGCTGAAACTAGACGGTTCAGGTCGCCACTTTCATCCGCCAGCATGCGCCAAAGCCGTGTTGAGCGGGTTATCAGCCCTGAATGGAACATTGAACCGAGGGCTTTGTCTGTGGCGGGCTGATCGGAGACCTCATAACCACTAGCTCGATGGGCAATGCACCACATTCCAGAGTTGGTTCCAGTGTATCCTGGAAAGGGCACTTTGTCTAAGCGTGCAGGCTCTTATTCAGAAGCCTCAATTGCAATTAAAACATCTATGGAAAGGGTACCAAGACTCAAGGTCCCAAATTTATATATAACCTGCTGTTAATACCTTTCAACACAATCTTTTCCTCGTCATTATTCAACCCAGCCCTTTTACGCACAGTTTTCAATCTTATTAAATCTTTCGGTCAACCCTGCAATCGATCACCATGTCTGACATGATACAGGCTGCCAGAAATGTCGCCGAGACGTCTGACCGTAATGCTCTTGAGAAAGAAGAAGAAGCCGTTGAAGTTGCCTCACAGTGGGCGCAGGAGAAGCTTGAGAACTTCCTGAACACTGTTGAGTAAGACATCGAACATGATCTTTCCTCCCTTTTTCTGACATAACTACAGAAGCAATGGTAATGATCACAAGCTACTCAAGATAAGCTATATCATCAGTCGCCGCACTTCTATCGATGTCTTCACTGGCAAGAGCTCAGACATTGGAAAATTCGCTAAGGATCTTATTGGAAAGCTTGCTGACGGTAAAGTCATGGAGGGCCTTGGTGACTTGGCTGGCACGTTGTTGAACAAGCTGTTTGGATCTGCGTCTGGTTCAGCCCAGACGGAAAGGATATAGTAAGTCAACCTCATCGACGGCCGCTGCATACGCAGTCTTACTAACAGACTTCCAGTGAAGTTACGTTCGATGAGCTCGGTGGACTCAATCGACTTGACGCATATTTCTTTTGCTATCGCTTTGCATCAAGTGGCATCACCAACTTCAGCAAAGCCGTCATAGGAACATGCATCGTTCGTTCTGCTGCCACCATGGTGGATGACAACGCCTACCGCGTGGTTCTCACTAGTTCTGCCACCCTTGCAGACGCTCAGCGTGCTGCTATTGGCGATCATATGATCCAGGTAGCCAAGCATCAGAAGCAAGTCTTGGACGAGCATGGCAACCATGAAGCCGCTGATCCTACACTTCTTGAAGCCCGAGCGAAGCTAGCCCAGGTTATCGGACTGGGTGTAGCTACTTCGGAGCAGTTCATCCAACGCAGGTCGACAGCCAAGACCTTCAGATCTGGGAACACTGAAAAGAGTGCCGAGTCACAGGTGGAGGACCTTGTCAGAAAGACGGATACACTCCTTAGCAATCAACCCCAGGTTGCGCAGATTGAGGCTTGAGATGTAGAATCGTCTTCTTTTGGATTAGCCTATATCTGATAATTGTGTTCCGCTTGTTGTAAATAAATTCATTAATACGGTATTCAAGAAAAAAGAAAAAAAAAAAAAAAAGAACTTCTAGATCTAGTCGGGAAAAGAGCTTTTCTGTGACCTTGCCGAGTACATTTATATTTCATTTCATGCAGTGCCTGACAGCTAATAGAAGCCACCTATTATAACTCATAATTATGCAATGCACTTCCCCGACTCCAGTAACTCACATTTTATCAATGAATTAATCTCTCCTCAACATCGAGTACTCGCGGTTGTGATGACAATTTTCATAAGCCCAGGCTTTATACCTGGTACACTCAGTTTCCTATCTGGAGCTGGAAAGACCGTCCTTCTGAAGTAGGACGAAAGAATAAGTTTGTAGGGAAATGAAGAAAGCCAATGGGTGCGATATTTCTTAGTTGCCTTCCGGCTCTCAAAGTTGGACATTAGGGAATAGTTTACCTTGTTGTAAATGGTAGAGCATGCAGTCGCTAGCTTTATCACCACGACAGGCGTTCGCAAGCCGTTATGTGGCTAGCTGAACTGTTTGGATCAATGTCGCAGTGGCGCATCTGAGGTCGATATCGATAGTGCCAAATGGCGACAGTGAACATATCCCCACTAGAGCCTCGGCCCGTTCCAGATTGGCCTAGGCCATGTAACCATCTATACGTCTTCAACTCCTATCGCAATCCGCTACTACAACCTCGTTCATGATGGCGTCGGTATCACGATCTTCCCTAAAATCCTAACTCCTGGTGGAGACAAACTCTGGGATGGCAGAAACCACGATGGGTATACTGTTAATGTCGGTATATATTCTGACAAGTCCTGCATCTGCTACCAGATCTTGGTCGACTGACTAAGGCTACAGGGGAATCGCGGTCAGTTGACCTTACGGTTTGTGGTATGGATATTGGCACCCTGTTTGTCCTATCTGAAAACACACTTTTTGGTGAAGACGAGACGGAGTCAAGCCAAGTCTTCTCTTTCGACCCAACTTGTACTGTTACTGCTAATACAGTCCGTGGTGGAAGTGTGTGTAACGGAAGCCTGGAGTACACAGGTATTAGTTCTTAACTTCTTGTGGTATATGTGCAAATCTCCTCAGTCGACCGCAGCAAACGTGCGACGTGAATTTAGTTATCACAGTGTGAGATAACCTGAGTAGTGCGGTTATGTATAAAACACTAGAAATATAATAGCACGCCTGCTTCAGTTGGTTAAAGATGCCGAGCTGGGAACCTAGACGTTACAGTAAAGGCTACCAGAGCGAGTGGAAGAGAGCTTCGAATCCCATGTCCAATACGACAAGTCGAACGTCTGCTATCAACTGTATAGCTATGGACAGTCATTGCGCAGGAGCGCGAGCAGACAAAAGAATAAAGCATAAATTAGCCGAGCCACACTACGCAAGTTGTGGAACAGAATTGCCTACAACAGAATGCAGGTTGATCCTGGTGGGGTGGCTGAACTGAGAAAATGGCTAGCGCTACTATGCTTAAACATACAAGCATCCCCTTATCGTAATATACATGTGATCACTCGTAGCCCATTCGCGGCGCAAACTCCCTTCATTGCGAGCCACACTGCTGATGATTGCCAATCACTTATCAACCTCATCATGCTTCAACCCAGCATCCTTCGCCTTCTTATCCGCAAGCTCACACAAAAACCTCCACTCCTCACCACTAACTTTACTCACACTCAATCTCGACTGCTTAAGCAACTGCATCATCTCCAGAGGACCACCGGTTTTACCCAGCTCACGAAGTTCCTTCAGACCAATAGGCACCGCAAACTTCTTTCTAAACTCCACGTGGACCAGGTCCCAGATGGGTTTCTCCTTTGTGGACTTGGGATCGTAGTATGGTGCGCCTGGTCGACGAGCGGATCCTGCTGATATTAGATAAAGGACGTTGGGTGACGGGTATAGGGGACTTGCTGTCTTCGGAGAACTCTTTGACGATTTCCATTACGCCGACGATGCCGGGCTCTTTGCAGTTGCTGGCGTAGAAAAAGGCGAGGTCGCCGGCGTTCATGTTTCTCATGTTGTTCCGAGCTGTGAAACGTCAGTCTCATTTCAGATGATCAACTGAGCATGGGTTCATACCAGCGTACGCTCGAATACCTGTATCAAGTCAGTATGTGAGATCCCTCGAAGCAAATGAAAACATACCATCCCATCCCTCAGGCTCTGTCTTTGCCTTCAAGTCATCAATAGAAAACTTGACATCAACTCCATTCTCAATGCGAGTCTCGGGCTCGGCTTTCATAAGCCAGTACCACTGGCCATCGTGCTTCGGGGCATCAGGATTAATCGTCGGGATTGAGTCGATATCTGGATCTTCAGAGACACCACGAGAGCCAGACTGAGAAAGTTCCTGTTTCTTGGCCGCCTTCTTCACCTTTGGCGCTTCGGGCTCTTCAGTTTTCGCTGGTGCTTTGGGCTTCTCTTGCTTCTTCGCTTTGGCAGCCTTCTTTGGCGGGCTGGCTTTGGCTGGGGGCGGGGCTTTGGCTGGGGGCGGTGCTTCAGGCTCGGGATTTCCTTTGGCAGCTTGCCGAAGAGATCTTCGCTTGGGCGTAGCTTCTTCTGAAGCGTCGGCGACAGGTGCACTTCTTTTTCGGGGTGGCATGTTGGGCTGTGAGTGTGTTGAGATTGGCTTCGTTGAAAGCCTGAACGCGCGACGCGTCTGAGTTGAGGCTTGGTATCTCAGCACAGCCACAGACTGCGCCACACTACCAAACACCCTATACAGAATCCTTCAGAAATTAAATCTCTCAATAGTTACAGTTAGTTTTGTATGCTATTTCAAAACTACATTGATCTATCTGCTTATTTACAGAAGGACAGTGTACCAAACTTCTAAAATTCAGAGCCTGACCCTACAATTCATCATGAACATGTTTCAAGTCCGTGATGCGGGGTCATCCTATGAGGATGCCTACTTCATCACGGCAGCCTTCGACTCTTCTCTGCCATTTCTCACCGAGACTGGCAACACAGGCCAGTGGGGGACGATCTCATTCTCTCAAAGGAACGGCTTCTTAGAAGGTACCCAAAACGATATCGAACAATCAGAAATCTTCCGACTCAGCGGCCAAGGCGAGCGGCGGCGAGTTTTCATCGCAGAGATTGAGGAAACACACTCTGGCAGTGATATCGTAGACCTTCACCGCCGGAAAGATGACAACATGGGTCAAATGCTCGTCTCAGTGGGCGCTGCAATGATTCTCGACGACGAATTCGCAAGTCATACACGCTCTGTTGCTGTTCTGGAGCCCCATATAGCCGCTGCCGAGAAGAACGGTGGCTTTGTGTTTCTGGACTTTCTCGTCGCAGATCATCGCGTACCATCGGCGAAGCGCAAAGGCGTTGGGTTGGCATTATTAGAGCGTGTCAAGACCTACGCGTATGAACACGGGAAACAAGCCATTTTCCTCGATTGCTGGACCGGAGGTACGGACAAACTAGTCAGGTACTACGAAAGCGCTGGCTTCAGTCCAGTAGCAGACTTTGAGTACCGTAAAAGAAACGGGGATGTATGGCCTGGTAGGCTATTTAGACTTGATTTGGCACCTAGACTGCCTTGATACACAATACTTGTGATCTGATAAATGATCAATGAGACATCACATGGGGAAAATCTTTCAGACCACATTTGCGGTGACGTTGCTAGTACAGAGCAGTATTTCTATCAACCTCACTGACAACATCATTTACACCGGAACATATCTCTTCAACCAATCCTTCATCACTCCCGTCGCAGGGTACTCCCCATCCCCAAGCCTCAACAACATCTTCACATGCCCCTCAAACCCCTCGCCCTCAAAAACACGCAACTCCGCCCTCGTCCCCGCCGCCTTCAGCGCCACAGCCAACTCAGCCGCCTGCCGAATGCCCCCCTTCCTCTGAACATGCAGCAGCAGAAACGCCCCCGCATTCGGCGCAGCTGCGTGATGTGTCGGCGACATGTCCTGCAATTTCTCCGGGTCGTCGCTTAGCCCTTTGATCATGTTTGTGATGATGGGGCCGGTGCTGTCGGAGAATTCTGCTAGGGCGTTGTAGTTTGAGCCGTCGAGAGCGATGACGCCTTTTATGATGGAGATGTTGAAGTTAGCTTTTTGGGCGTATGTTGGGTCGGTGCCGAGGAGAGTTACGACGTGTCCTCCTGAACTGTGGCCCATGAGAACTACACGCTCTGGATCGATACCAAGCTCTTCAGAGTGCTTGATCAGGTATGCTACTGAATCAGCAATCTCTTGCACCTGCTCCTTGACAGTGATCTTGGGGATAAGCGTGTAATTGACCGACGCAAAGGCGTAGCCAAGGTCGTTCAGGTAGCTGATTTTCTTTGAGCCAGTTGAGTCGAGATAAGTGCCAATTGTCCAACTTCCACCGTGGACGTACACGATGACTGGGGCCTTGGTGGCACTTGACGTCGGTTTCCAGAGGCGAAGGCGCTGCGCCTCTCTTTCTCCGTAAGCAATGTCTGTTCCGCCTTGAGGAACATCTGAGTTCATTTCAGCCAACAATGCATGCACCCTGTCCATATTGATGTCATCGCTGGTGTCTTTGTATATAGAGAGACCAGTGACTTCGCGTCCTCGGGTAGCCACGTCCTCAGGACTCAACCCCGATGCGCTGGGTGTCTCTGATGAAGCCATTGCTGAATTGTAATTTGAAGATGAGAAGAGTGAATCGAGTAGTTTGTGAAGAAAGTGAAGGTCAATTCCGTTGCGCAAGCCAATCTATTCATAATATTCCCTACTCTCCACTTTGTCCATGGTCCGCGTAACGTCGCAACGTAAGAAATCCAGCAACCTAAATAAACGCAGATGCCTGGTCAGGCAGACACATGAGCCAAACAAAGGGTCCTTACTCGACTTCCAGATTCGGTGTGGTCTGAAGCGATTTCCAGCAGCTTATTTCATTCCCGTTGCCGTATACCCGGGGTCCCTGAAACAAATAAATCCACCAAACGAAGGCGTCAGTTTAGCCTAATCCATGCCCGATAAGAACCTCCGTCGCGTATAAAACCAATGGCGTGACGTGTTTGTTTGTCAGCCTGCTATCAATAACAGGACAATCCATTAAAGTAATTTTCGTAAATCCAACCAAACTCCAATCATGTTTTTTTTTTCATCACATCACCATCTTGTCTTGGTCCTGCGTCATCAAGATGCTCTCAGTAAACTCGATCACTGACCGGAGCTGTTGTAGCTTCCCGCCCTCCAACAGCATAAACTCCTGATGGTTGTGAATCATCTTCTCCGAAAAGTCACATCCATCCTCTCCAGGCTTAGCATCAACACCAAGCTCATCTTGAAAATCCTGTAAATGCGATGAAATATGGCTCAAGACATCAGGATCTAGCGTCATGAATTGAGCATACGACATGGTCTTGGTTGAAGACGACTCCATGTCTGACTCGATCCAGTCTGTGGGGTTGTTGGTTAGCACTTTTGAGATGGCGGTGATGATGCGCTTGAGGGACTTGAAGACCAGAGGATCCGCAACGTTTGGCCACGTGGAGAAGTTCTTTAGTCTTGAGAAGAAGACGTTTATCATGACGAAGTGGTCCTTCATGGTGTACAGCTCGTCGCGGATTTGGCAGACCTTGGGGTTCGGTCGTTGGGATGGCTTTTTGTCGGGTCGATCGGGTGCCACTGCTGGTGGAAAGCCCATGTGATTGGTTCTAAACTCGTCAAAGTCCCTAGAGCACATCCGTCAGCTTCAGAAGGTATGTACATAGAGTAGAGGGGATTTGACTCACGCTTTCAGAATGGGTAAAAATTCTAAAAACAGATCTCGAGTCTCTTCCAGCGCCTCGAGACCGTGAGCTAGATTCACATTGATATGCAGAGGAATATCTGCCGCTGTCAAACGCCTGCCAAGATCTGCTGGCGGAGCAACCCTCGAAAGATTCTCCTGCGTTTCCAGAACGAATTCCCTCAGCTCCGCCAGGGCTTCCCATGTGTCGGGGTTCAGTGGAATGTCTATCAAGGCCATACTGGAGCCCTTGGACAGCCAGTGCTGAGCGTAGACCTCGAGCATCTTGCCAAGGTCTTTTGTTTGCGTGCAGAGCTGTTTGCACGTCAAGCTGATCAAGCTCATTGTAGAGATTTTATTTCCGCCGATGTCTTTTGCAAGTTTGGCAACGGCATGGAGGGAAGCAGTCGCGGCTTGGCAGGCCTCGTGATAATCCCTGGGATTTGGGTATGAGGGCGAATTGTCGTTTACATTTGTTTCCACGTCTGCGATCTGCTCATGACTTGGCGTCTCAGGCTGTTGCTCCAGCTCTTGGTATTCTGGGAAGCTCTCAACAGTGTTATCTCTTAGGCGCAACGGCGGCAGTTCCTCGCAATAGATTCTTCGGGGTTTTGGCACGGGGAGTGAATGGAGTGCCTCAATGACATTGGGCGGCGGGAGGGTGTTATCTTTCGGACGCAATGCGAGCTGAGAGTGTGATGTGGAATTTGATGGGCCAGCGTGGGATGACTCGACGACTTGCGTCGCTGGTGCAGGGGTCTCTTGCGGGGGAGGGGACTGGGATGGTGACGATGGCCGTGAATCCATCGAAATGACGGATGCAGCGCTCTCGACTTCGAGCCAGTCGTCAGCAATAGAACCTCGATGACTTTGTGACATTCTGGCGATGACTTGGTACAAAAGCTCTGAGAAATTGATGGAATGCAGTGGAATTTTGATGGGTTTTGAAGGGGAGGATGATGAGGGTTGAAAAAAGAGTGCTGCCTTTCAGCCTGGATTAGGCAGACGTCGCAGGTTGCATCGAGGCTACAGTGGTCAGCCCTATAAGGTTCACTCTTGGGATTAGGTCAGCATTTTCTCTGTGTCATCCTTAGAGACGAAACCCGCATTTGGGTATAATTTTCATTTATTCGCCTGTGGCATTATACATTTTGATGCTGCCAATGGATGGTGGCATTGAAGAATGGATGAGTCAAGAGTTGAGTCAACTGAAGCTATGGCGCTACAACCGGCCGAGCTATGGCCTTTGCAGAAATAAACCAGGGCTGTTGATTGGCTTGTTCAAGATGAACATGCTTCGTCATACAAGAAAAGCGGCAAGAAAAACGGCAATATCGTTGGGTGGACATGAAGCCTTGAGAAAGCTGATGCGACAGTGTCGATTTCCAGCATTTGCGATTCTGGTAGCGTGTCGTTGGTCGGGATCTATATTACTTAGCGTCTCATGGATCCATCAGCTATCCCTCTAAACCAGCACGGCATTCATTTATCGGGGACGATTATTGTCATTGTAATTTGCTTCTTTGCTTATTCGGCACTGCCATGTTTGTATGACATTAGGTCGCATTGTGGCTTGCGGGGTAAGTCAGCCCAACGAGGCTTTCACCTGAGGCCTCAACTCAAAGCAAGCGATCGGCGCTGATTAACCTTCAACTCACCACCGAACCAACTCTCAGCATCTGGTCCGCCGCATTGAATTAAGCTCTGTCTCATCCGATGTCAGGCCTCGAGCCACTCGCGGCCTTGGGGCTTGTGTGCAACATCGTTCAACTAGTCGAAGTCGGGCTCAAAACAGCCACGCTCTGCAAGAATGCCTATCGCACAGGCGAACCGGACCCCGAGCTCAGCGTCTACGCTCAGAATCTCGCTGCCACCGCTTCGAGCTTGAGTCAGTCACTGGAGAACTCCCAGCAGCCTCTTAATCTCGATGACTCGCGACTCCTGGCTCTGGCTCGCAATTGTCGTGATGCGGAAGCTGAATGGAGGAAGAAAACCCCAGCTCGATTTCTTTCCCAACAACAACCTCGAAAACGTGATCGTCTTGCCGCGGTGTTTCGCGGCATTATCAACAAACCGGAAATCGATCGCTTAGAAAGTCAGCTACAGAAAGCCAAGGGTTCTCTGGAGACGGATCTTCTCGTCGGGATCTTCAAAAGCCTTGACGTCTCCAAGGTGCAAGCCAATGATCTCCAAGACAAGTTCCAGGACCTACTTCAGGCAACATCCACCAGCGAAAAGGAACTTCATGAACTTATCCAAGCACAAGTAGCCCTTGTCAACACGCGGATATCAGACCGTATTGATCAAGCTGAAGCATCTACCAAGACTCATGTCACAACAGTGCTTGCTAGTCATGAATCGAGACTTAAGTTACACGCAGATCAAAGCAAAGTCACGCTTTTGACCGAAGCTGAGTCGAGAGAAGAGACGCGAAGGGAAAATGAGGCTTATGAACGACTCTTGCGCAGTTTCCAGTACCCCGATATGAATCGTCGACGAAACGAGATACATGCCTCCTATGGGTCGACCTTTAACTGGTTATTCGAGGGAGAGTTTGAGGATGATTATCTGGAATCGGAATCAGAGGTTTCTGAGTCAGACTCTTTTTCTGAATCCGACGCTGATTCTTCTTCTGAACATGAGGTAGACTCTTATCGTCAAATGCTGGCTTGCAGTAGCTTTGGAACATGGCTGGAATCGTCAGAGAACCGCTACTGGATTAGCGGCAGGCCTGGAACCGGAAAGAGTGTGCTCATGAAGTTTATCATCTCCCACAAGCAAACGATGGATTCATTAAGACAATGGCAACCTGAAGGCCAAATCCTCAGTCACTTCTTCTGGAAAGTTGGCAGTCCTATGCAAAGTAATTTCAAGGGCTTTCTATGCTCTTTGGTCTACCAACTGTTCTCTTCAGACAAACAGCATGCTATGAGCTTTCTCCAACAGAACCCCGATTGGTCTCGCAAAACTGGACCTGGTGATTGGGACAAGGATGACCTCCAATTCTTAGTCAATGGGTACGCAAGACAGACGGCTCGACCTTTCTGTCTTTTCATCGACGGACTCGATGAGATTATCGATGATGAAGGTGTAGGCATCATGTTCGACTTCCTCCATACTCTGCAAGAACCTACACGTTTAGTCAAGATCTGCATGTCAAGCCGTCCAGAGCCAGCCATACGAATGCGGATGGGTCGGAACCCCGACATGGAAATGGAAGATTTAACACGAAATGATATAGAGCAATACGCACGGGCCAATCTGAAAAGGGAAGTTTCTCTGGCAAACTCTTCAATGTATATCGAGGATCTTGTAATGGATATCAGTTACAAGGCACAGGGGGTATTTCTCTGGGCTGTTCTGGTAACAAGATCGGTTGCACGGGGTATCTCGAACGGCGACTCAAGAGAACTTATCCAGAAAAGGCTTCTAAAGACTCCCAAGAAGCTTCATGAGCTATACCTTGATATGTGGACGAGGCTGGACGAAGACTCGGATCTTTATCAGCGTTCGACTGCACTCATCTTCAAGATTGTTCTCTTCAACTGGAAAACATCAATCAAAGCCCAAGCACTTCATTTCCCATTATTATTCCAAACAGGTGCAATATCTATTCTGGAATTGATGCTGGCGTCAAGTGATGATCTGTGGTCCACGCCTGTTGAAGAATTTGAGCAGCTCTCTGCCACAAACCTTGAGCGACGGTGCAAGGAACTATTGGCCAGATTGCCATTCAGAACAGCTGATCTCTTTGAGGTCGTTCAATCTAAGCGCCACGAGAGATCAGATGAGAAAAAATGGGCTGACAAGTCACGCTCCCCTTTGATTAGGTATGACAATCTAGGGGTAGACGCTGTTCATCGAACGGTCTTCGACTTCCTGATCGAGACAGAGGATGGAAAGAAGATTATGGGGCACCATCAGGCGTCTCAAGAAGAATTATTCATCAGAATGTTCAGATCGCGCCTTCTTCGAAATTGCCTATACCCCCAACTTCCATATACATCGGGCGAGAACGAGGAGGGTCGCAATTGGTTATCAGCATGGCGACATCTAGACTCGCAGCTGGACTTACTCTCATATCACACCGATGTTATTCACGGTTCAACGTTGGTCAACATGCTAGATCTTTTATGGGCCTCTTTTGTTAAAATGACTAAAAGTCTCCCGATACACCCTGACCCAAGTGTGGATATCGTCAAGCGGATATGCAAGTTTGACTACTTACTGCGCGTTGTTCCTAAGGGATTCGACGATTATATAAGAGATTATCTCATCGAATGGGAGACTAATCGACAGTTCGATGAACTGTACAAAGTTCTAAGTGCTTGCCTTAAACCAGACCATTTGCGTTGTAGTGAGTTTGAATGGGCCGGAAAGCAGCGTCTGATACAACGCATTCTTTCGATAATTGTTTCCCATAGATTCCATATTTCGACTCCGAGTGGACAGCAACTAAGCAGCCATACTTTGTTCAAAGCCAGCATAGCGTACTTTCTCATCTCGACCGTCGATTTCCGGATCTTGCAACGCGGCACCTATTCTGCATGGTCGTGGAACGCTCAAAGAACTAGCGTCATTCTCAGAATGCTTAGGGACTTCCGCTATTCATTATGCCTCGGAGATCACATGCTTATCGAAGTATTCCTCCCCATAAGCATCCTGGATTTCCCACATTTAGTCGGTCAGAGACGTCGCGGAAATTCACCAGCTGTCTACGTGGAAATAAGCATGGCCATCCTTGTTCAGATTTTTTTAGAACAAATATTGCCGAACTATGCAGGTTTCAATCGTCATGAAGTTGAAGATGCTTTCAATCTGAAGGATTGCCCCCAGACTATGAAGCCCACTATGCTAGGTGTGGGTGACTACTTTCTTGAACTATCCAGCACGGATCTGCCCATTTTGCAGAGGTACTGTCAGAGGAGGCTACTGCCTGCGCTTTTCAGTCCGTCGATTGAGGATTTGGATGATATGGATCTGTTTCAGCATAGGTTGGTGGTTGAGGCTAGCCGCGGTATATTCGAGCGTGAGCGGCGCATTGAAAGACCGGCTGGGACAGTAAGAGGGATAGAAGAGGGGGTTGGTCCGGACGGCATGAACTTCTACCTTTGTAGCTCTTGTGAAGCAAAAGAAAGGGATTAAGCCTAGAGTTCACATTACGATGTGGTCAAGTTTTACTTTTTACATGAATATAAACTCATAGAGATGCTCCAAAATACGGGTTAAATCAGTTGTTCTCGACATATACACTAGTCAAATCAAATATTGCTAGGCATGAGACGCAGTCGCCTTAGAGTAGGCAAGTTTTGCTTATGTAAGGGCTGTCATCTCCCTTCAATCGTCTTTCAATATAGACAGTGTGGTTGTCAGATCCTGAACGGAACCCTTCCAGCCATCTGGCAATCTTCCGCTATCAGATGCTTCGCACTGGCTCGCCCCCAAGGGTTCCTCTTGAAAACGACTCGTAAGTTTCTCCAACGATGCAGAAGAAGGATCCTTGGCCACCATCTCAAGATCAACCGGGTAAGCACTAAAGAACTCTCTGCTCCTCCGACTCTCATCCCGAACCTCCTCCAGCAACCGCTGTGTGTCAGCCGTCAAAGAACCCCCCTGTCGGTTTGTCATGACTATCAGACTCTGCACTATGCCGCTAACAAAAGGCATGTAGCGGGCTAGGTACTGATAGCCGCGCATGCAGAGTAGGAAGTAGAACTGCGATTCATTACTGGACAAATCTCGTAGTATGTGGTTGACGAGGTAAAGCATGCCGCTTTGCCAGATGATGGAGTACTTGGATGACTCGCAATTTGCACGGTATTGGTAGATAAGACGTTTGAGTTGTTCAATAGATGCTGATATGACGGCTTTCGGCGTGGCGTTTACTCCTGCGAAGGCTGGGAGTTTAGGCTGGGGGGACTCGTGTTCGAAGGGTCGGAACAGATCAATAATGGCTGTATGAAACCAAATACTTGATAAAGTTAGCATCTGTCATGGCTGTTTCAAGGGCACTGTGAACTCACTGTATGTTAAGAAGATGGTCAGGATTGCTTTCATGACGTTGGACTCCGGCTGGTAATGCATCTGCCCAGCCTAGTAACCTCTGAAAGATCGCTACAGCTGATGACACAGAAATAGACCTTTCAAAGTAGTATAGATAGTTCATATCAAATGCTATGAGCCAGAATTGGCAGACGGCTGTGTAGGTTGCATCTGTACTAGGCATGTCATGCTGGCCTGCAATTAGTGGTTTTCCTGGTATGCGAAATCTCGGTGTTCTTTTTGGTATTGGCGCTTGGTGATAACTCATCGACATGACCCTGGTGAGCTGTCAGCTACATTTCCGCGTGGCATGGGCCTCCACTGTACATTTGGAAGTTGAAAGATCCCCAAGCAGTTGCGCATACAGCTGCTTCAACACGCTCATCGCTCAGGTCCAACTGATGATATGAGACGGAATCTGACTCTCCATACAATCCCATACGCTGCGCCATCCTGGCACTATGTTCTTGCAAGCGCCGTCCAGCTTTGTCTTTGCCTAGAGTAGTCCACGTCATACTCATCAAAGACGTCGCCGCCACTGTTGTCAGCCCGTCGATATTTTTCTCCGAATCGTAGATCTGCAAGGCCTCATCTAAGAATTTGGTAGGTAGCGTAGCGGCCATCGGTTCATAGTGCGCGTAGCTTTGCTGTGAGGCGAGCTTAGTGATGATCTCTATACGTGGCATTCTTAAGAACCTACTGTAGCCCAGGCAAGAAGAGCGTTGACCAGCATTCGGGAACAAAACCTGTTCTGCATACTGACTAAATCGTCTAGGAACATGTCGGTATCAAAAAATGCCCACCACGGCTGGTTCATATTGAGATACAAAGAGATGGCTTCTGCGGCGAATTGATTGCTTATGGTGACATTCGTGTACCGCGAAATTTCGACATGGTGAAGACGAGGGTCAATAGGAATACCGCTTTCCACACTGAAGGCGGTTTTGCCAATCATATCCTGCGGCTGGACTGTCCTGTCTACCACTGTACTTGGCTCATCCCTGTAGAAAAGCGTCGATAGCTGGGTATCTGGAGTCATACCGGTATCAAGCGGCTGGATGCCGAGAAGTCCCAAGTCCAGTGAGGCTGTAGTAAGAGGAGCGAGGGGTGAATAGACTTTTGGATGTTGAACAACGAGCTGGAACTCAAGTGGTGTCTGTGTTGGGATCATGGTGCCCCTCGCAGCTGCATGCATCGACGGGTTAACATTCGTGGACAAATTACCGCCAATTGACTCCATAATTGCCTTCGGGGAGCGTCCTTGTCGTAGAAACTCCAAGGCTTGTAACGCGAAGCCCTCGGGTTGATCCCTTAACAAGTCGACTAGATGGACCGAAGACTGCACATCTGGATGGATACTCCCAGCCAGTGATGCTCCCACTGACCTAGGACTAAGGGAGGTTGCCAGCTGGTCAGAGATTGGAGTACTTTGCGCTGAGACACGTTGGCGAAGATGCTCGACGGTGGCCTGGAGCCTGGTAATCTGCTCTTTATCCGCTTGTCGGTGGCTAAGGCCAGCTGGCGCGTCATAAACGCAGTCAATGGATGCCTTTTCACATTGATGGCATTTTGGACGCCCTCCTCCGCACTGTTGCTGTAGTGTTAGCTGCCGCTGCTTTGAATAAATTAATCAACAAGTACCTTGACCTTGCGTCTCCGACAGGCTGGCAGATGTCACGTCAGCTCGACGTCGCACCAAGATTATTCCCGGCTTCTGAAACTCACTCTGGCAAGCAACAGGAGCGTTGCGTCTGCGCGGGGGGAGAGTTCTGCGTTGGGTGGCAGCAGCTACCTGATCATTCTCGCCTTGGCCTTTGGCTGCGACTTTGGGTAGCAGTATCCTGTCTGGTGGCGCCATTGTAGTTAGTGCTGCAGTTAAAATGGATTGCCACAAAAGTTTAGGTCGGAGGCATTTCAGCCAGACACTGCGTACGGAAGAACCGGAGCCTCCGCCGCTTTCCATTGGCTAGCTACAATACGTATCTTTTATCACCTACAGTTTTATCGACGCAGTGAGACAATGAGACAATGAGACGCGCCTGTAAGTATGCAATTAAGAGAATTCCTATTAAAGCCTCAAGTTTGAAAGTTCAAGTAAGCGTACCAAAGAAGTAGATACAGTATATATATCGAAGTCAACATAAAAGCGCCCTTTCGATAAGAGTTAACTTGTCAGAGTTACTTACAAGCTCCGCGTGATATAGAGGTACTGGATTACTTCCTTTATCTTAGCCACGTATTGGCACGCATTGGTTCTGTATATCTCTTTTAAGCTTATGACGTCTCAAACACAGAACTTAAATGTCAGCGAGATGTCCACAGGAGAGCCGCTCATTAAGCACTGTTTGTAAACTTACCCGCCGCTGCAGTCCAGCTTTATGGCAATTGTGGCTGACTTCGTCTAGCTAGTCGGGTTATCTCAAAGTGTTGTCTTAAAAGTGTTGGAGAAGAGGGCCATATCTATACTCAACAGCCAATTTTTAACATAGAAAAGGCCTTTGAAAGGTTGGGAAGGCTGCTTTTAGGTAGTCGTTACAGAAACCTCTATTGCGGCGCTGTCGGGCACTCTACTAATTCAGAGGGGGAGTTGTGTACTCTTCGCTATGGGACAAAATCTCATTGATTAGGAGTCTTTACAAGAAAGATTTATATCAGATCAGCTCATGAGAAAGAATTAACAATTTAGATCTCGGACTTCTTAGGGTTACAGAGAAATATTAGACTTATGTATTACTACTAGATGCATTCAGTAGTAACATTCAACATCACGTTCAAATGACTGCTCGAGAGTGTCTGAATTTTGATATTGTACATGGGCTTGACTTCTGCAAGCGCATTCACTATTATCTACATATAACATAAGCCTGACCTTTCAAAAGATCGATCTTCCTCCATCAACACGTCGAGTTTCTACTAAGCGTATCTCACATAAATTAGAACTGGCGAGCGTGGCGGCGAGCCTTCTTGGAGCCACCGTTCTTGGATCGGAGCCAGTCAATGAAGGTGTCGAGAGTGAAAGTCTTGGGGAGAGCACCATCCTTGGTACCCTCCTCCTCGGCGACGGGAGCCTCAGTGGAAGGGACCTCGGCAGCCTGAGTAGCGGCGGCGGCGACAGAGGTGACGAGGCTGGTAGGAGCGACAGGAGTAGGAGCAACGGGGGTAGGGGCAGAAGGAGCAGGAGTCGAGATGGTTCCGTTGGAGGGAGTCTCAGGGACAGTAGGCTTGGTGCCAGAAGCAGAGCCGTACAGAGCAGGTCCGGGGATCTCGTAGGTGGTGGAACCCTTGTAAGGATCGAAGAGAATACCGGGCTCGGAGTCGGTGTAGAGCTCAGTGGTCAAGGTACCCTCAGGGTTGTCGGTTCCAGAACCAGTGATGTCAATGTTGAAGCACTGAGGGTAGTTCTGGGCACCATCCTTGGAACCAGCCCCATGAAGAGCGATGATCTCATGTCGGAAGACGTAGCTACCAGCAGCAAGAGTCTCAGGGACAGTGGTAGTCCAGGTGTTGTTGTTCTTGATGAGATCGGCAGCAGCCCAGGTTCCATCAAGGCCAGCAGCATCGATCTTAACCCACTTGAGAGTAGCAGGGTCAGCAGAAGTGCACTTTGCAGAGCACTTGGCAACGTAGGTCAGAACAGGACCAATGTGAGACTCGGGCCAGGCAGACCACTGGAACTCAACGGTACCACCGGCCTTGACAGACAGAGAGGTTTTACCGGGAGCGGCCTTCTTGTGGCAGGCAATGTCGGAGGTGCCATAGTCGGAGGGGGGAACGAAGCCGTTGTCGAGGTTCTCAGCGGACCAAGCAGCAATGGTGGGGATCTCGCCGCCCTGCTGAGCCTTGTAGTAGGAGCTGAGGTCGTAGCCGGCCTGGTAGGTTCCGTCGACCTTGATGCCAGTGACAGTGCCGTGGGCGAGGGCGACGGAGGCGAAAGCGCCAGCGAGAGTAGCAGCGACCTTGAAAGACATGTTGATTGATTGGAAAAGAAGGGATTGGTGAAGATTTTGAAAGTCAGGTAAGATTTTGGGAAAGAATGTAATAGACCAGCTTCACACAGTGAAGAGAAAGAATGGAATGGAATGTAGAAAAAAGAGTGAATGCACTGCACTTGAGATGAGAAACTAAGCTGAAGAAACACAAAACCAGACGACAAGAGTTTCACGTTTATATATGTTTCTTGACCATATTTCATCGGATTTAGTGATCGACAGACTCGTTATCGCCCGCCAAGAGGCATCTCAATTCACAGTGGTGGAAAAGCACGTCGTCTCAGCTTCGTGGAGCCGCACGCCTTTTTCGGATAAGGCCCCGGCCCCAAGCGCGCGGTAATAGGCCCAAGCTCCGGGGACTGTTACAGCTTCAGTTCAACATTCAAGGTTAATTGTTTCTGAGTTGGTTACGTTCGTCTGATGTTTTGTTGATGCACGTGGAAGGCCTGAGACGTTAATTTAATAGAATTTCCGCCTATCGAACTAATTGCTTAAGCTTATTTCTGGGTCTTGCGACTTGCGATATTGCTGACTGGAGGGTTTTCGCATCCGTTACTCAGGGGAAATGATGCAAGTCTGTGTTTCGTAGTTTCGTGTATCGGAAAGTGGGAGTTCTTGGGCAAATACTCTGTTGAGTTGCTTTGTCCTGTCAGTTAATCTTTCTTTGTGCAATTTTAAGCTCTCGATGCCATAAAGACTTGAGGAAATGTTACCATAATTGTATAATGCCCCTTTACCAAGTTTCCTTGCGGTTCTAGGTATAAACTTCTTTAAGGCTTGTGTAGCCATTTGCTGTTGAAGATCTACGTTTCATTGCCAAGAGATCGCCCCTAATTCTTTACGCGGGCTCGCGTCCTTGTACGCGGTTAACCTGCCCCTGTACCCTGTCCCTGTCCACTCACCTGGAACACTGCCTAGCTTGACCTTGCAAGGTCTAGAAACGAGATCCCAGCTTCAGTTTGTCACTGGCGATATCCTATTTACCTGCAAAGTTGACTTGCATTATCGCATCCATTTAGATAAAGGATCACAGAGTCAATACCCTATACCGTAAGTTGGAAGAGATGATTCCAGGGCCTAGTATAATAATATACTTATGCTCAAATCTGAATTTAGTCTCAGATAGTTAATAAGAAAAACTCAAAGATCGAACTTACAGATGTCATTCAATCAGGATTGAGAAGACGGAGAGGAGGTCCAGGTCTTGCAAAACATACTAACGTTTTCACTCTACTACATATTGCTTAATGACATATACTTAAAGGCGATGAACTATCTCTGCGCAGTGACTGTACAGTGATTTTTTTGTTTTTACCTGACTAAGCGGCTATGGCAAAAATATTTTTTCATGCTTAGACCCCCATATCGAAAATTCGGAAGATAGACTCGATAAATCTCAATTTAAAATACGACAGATCCACCAGCAGCACTAACGAATTAATAAAGAAAGAAATAATATTGCATAAAGAATTATCCAGGTAACCTAAAACTTTATTGAAAGCGATATGTATGCCCGCTGAATCCCATTAGTTGTCTGGAATTTAAATCTTCACCAGATGACGTACCCACTGATATCTGATGCTCCGGTTGTTACGTCAGAGCTCTCAGCTCATACCGGTTTTCGATGTCCGGTACGTAAGGTGACAGAACGGCACACCGGGTACACGGAATCTCTTGTGTTAAATGCGTAAAGCTTATATCACCGGCTATCAAGCAAGGGAGAATCAGCTACCAGTAGAATGTTGCATAGGTATCATATAAGGACTATGATTGGCGATTGATGATTCGCAACGTCATTAGATAAGCGGCTGATTTGACCATCCCATTTTGCCAGAGCATGTTGTTAAACTCCACATAACAACATCAATGACAACATCGCTGGTTGGCTCGCATAGCGCATATCTCAAAACCAACGCCATATTTTCATTTTTCATTTTTGATAAGGCTTAATGTTCAATTGACTAACTTAGGATGTGTTCAGTATGATACTGGAAGGCCTCTGTGCGGATGGGAACAGTCAGCCATCGAAATTTTTCCTCAACCGGGAAGCCCGGAACTTGTGTTTTAAAATCTTATGCCATTTCTTAAATATAACATCAACACCCAACTGGCTGAAAATGGGCTCCCGCGGACACCGGGTGGGTATTGACGTGATCAGACCACATATTTATACCAAAATGTCTCCCATTATCTTCTATCACATCCTCATGCAAGCAACATCCTTGATAGCGAGAAAATACATTATTTACGAGCATTATTTGCACCTTAGCTCAACCACGACTTGCAATTCATAGCCTCGATACGGCCTGAACCGAAGCGAACGCTGAGCTACTTTTTCGATATGTCCAACACCACGGAAGCGTCGGGACCGCTTACTCAAGACCAACTCGATACACTGAGGTCGGGATGTCAAAGCTTGATAGAAGGACTCGATACTTCCTATGGCTACGTCCCGACCTTGGGTGCTGGAATTGCATTCTGTGTTCTCTTCGGTCTAAGTCTTTTCGGCCACTTTGTCCAATTTGTTAGGAAACGTCAATGGACGTCATTTGCTTTTGCAGTCGGGGCTCTGAGTATGTCAAACTGACCTTCCATGATCTCATGGATAATCAAGAGTATTTAAGGTACTGATAACCATGAATTAGCCGAAGTCATTGGTTGGGCTGGTCGAACATGGTCAAGCGAATGTCCATACAACAACAACGCGTTCTTGATGCAGATTACGACTCTCATCATCGCTCCAACTTTCATCACAGCGGGACTTTACGTTATACTCGGTGCTCTTATCAACCGTCTTGGTCGCGAATCATCAGTTCTTGGCCCTAAGATGTACGCAATTGTCTTTTTGACCTGCGACATTATCGCACTCGTCATACAAGCAGTTGGGGGAGCCATGGCCTCTACTGAGTCAGACAAGATTGACGGTGATACAAAGCCGGGAACAAATATCATGGTAAGCCCCATAATCCTTTATTGTCCTGTAGAGGGGAAGCGACAGTAACTAATAAGGACGATAAAAGGTCGCTGGCATTGTGTTCCAGATGGCAGCCATGGTGGTTTTCGCTGTTCTAGTTATTGACTTCATGAGGAGAGTCTTTGTCAAAAAGTCCTACTTACAGACGAGGAAGAAGGGCCTATCTGATGGCAACGCTTTGCCTAAGGCTTATACTTGGCTTTTGGCAGCAGTGTTTATATCCTTGACCATGATATTTATTCGAAGTATCTACCGAACTGTAGAGCTTCTGCAAGGCTGGAGTGGCTACCTGATCACCCATGAAGGTTACTTCATCGGTTTAGACGGAGCCATTATGGTTGTGGCTATAGCGGTTTTTAATTTCCTCGATCCGGTATATCTACTATGGGGGCAGGACGATAAACTGGCGTCATCGCTTGAACAACATGAGCTAAGGGGGGCGGGACATGTCAGTATGGAGCGCTGGGATGAGTCTACGATAATGTCTGATTAAGAAACGGCACAAATACTTCCAAGATATATCGAGGGACACAGAAGTAATTAGAGGGTTTCTTGAATGAATTTATTAATAAGCTTAGGTGTAACTTTTCTTTTATTATCTTCATTATGCTGATTTTTCTTACCGCTTCGCAAGCCGTGCATCAACCACACAATGCGCAGTTCTTCAGAAATCTCAATTACGACCAGCCCTTAAATGCACACATCTCTTCAGCTTTTAGGCACAACGCTAACGGCGGTTCAACCCGCTGGCTGTAGATCCCTGAGCCTGATTTCAGTATCAGTGTGATCATTGGACGAGAGAAGCCCCTGTCACGATGCATGATCAGTTAGGGGCCCAAGCCAATCTCTTTTGGTCGAATTTGCTAAGCACAAACAGGGGTCTTTTCAGCTCGCTTTGTGAGTATGCAGTGCGCACCACAGCCAACTCGGGGCTGGTCATCTTCTATTGGTCAGCTGAACGAGGAATTTGGTTTATTGTGCTGGCCAAAATTCTTTGCAAGATCAATTTCTTTCCCTTCATCTACAGTCGGAAAGGAGGACTCAGTGTTCTCGCCAAATCACCCACCCCGTTGCCATTCTTATTCGTATCCTGGCAGGAACACTTGTCAATGCATCGTTAGAAACTTACTTTTCACCACTTTAAAGAGAATATGGCATCAAGCAATCCGTCGGGCTCCTCCATACCCGGTCCTCGGCCGTCGCAGGTTTCTATGCCGGAACACGAGACTGAACCAGAGGGTCACAAAACACTGAAATCTCACTTGATGTCGGCTATACAAACAGATAATATTGAAGAAGTTGAACGATTATTGGATCAAAACAGCTTCTTGACCAATGCCGCCACCTGCTATGAGGTCGAATACAACCAAGGGTCTATAGAATGTCAGGTCCTTCCAGTGACCATTGCAGCGAAGTTCGGTCGAGTTGCTATCCTCGACATGCTATTATCCAATTTCACTGCCAACATCGATGCCCCCATTTACAGCACTGGAATTTCATCACTCCATCTCGCGGCTCAATATGGCTGGCTGGTCGCTGTCAGGGTTCTCTTATCTCATGGAGCGGAGATCAATCGGGCAAACGTATGGGGATGGACTGCTTTGCATTACGCATCCAGAAGTGGCCACACAGACGTTGTTATCTCTCTCTTAGAGAACGGGGCAAATTCTCAGCTCCGAACAGATAGGAAGTACACGGCGTTCAGCCTCGCGTGTTACCGCGGAAGCCTGGAACTGCTGAAACTTCTCTGGAACCAGGGACCCGAGACGCAAATTAGCTTGAGAGACCAGCGAGGAAATCAGCCGTTGCACCATGCAGCTTTTAATAATAATCACCGGGTCATTCCATGGCTCCTGGAGAAGCAAGCAGACATTGAGGCATACGGGGAGGGTGGCCTCACACCACTCTGCGCGGCTGCCATCGCAGGGTCATTCGAAGCTGCTGAGGCTCTTGTGTCACAAGGAGCATACATCCATGCAAGGTCCAATATCGGGAAGGCAACACCAATGCTTTACGCAAGCCAAAGGTTGGATTCCCGATTATCAGTTCTGCTGCTGGAAGGAGGCGCGTCCCTCTCGGATACTGATAAGAGAGGCTATAACTGCATTCACCGCATGCTAGAAAACAAGGGAGGCTCCTTGCAAGATTTTGCAGATCTCGTAGCTCTGTCTGTTGGTGGTGGAGCAAATATCAATCATCTAAGTGATGGTGATCTGTCACCTCTTGCAAGTGCATGTCTTGAAGGCAAATTAGGGGAGGCCAGGATCTTGATTGACTTTGGGGCAGACGTCAACCAATGCGGCTCAAGTACAGGTGTTACACCGCTTATTATGGCCTGCAAAAGGCCAAAGAATAACAAAGTCATTGCTATGTTGCTTGACCGTGGCGCCGACGCTACCAAAACTCACCGTCATGGAGGGACTGCTTTGTCAATCGCCTGCCTAGCTGGTGATTCAGAAAACGTTAAAATCCTTATTTCTAGAGGAAGTGACGTTGCTCATTTTGACAGACACTGCCACACGCCATTATTTAATGCAGCAATGAAAGGACATTTCGACATCATGCTACAAGTGCTAAGAACAGCAACCTATTTTCCTTCGAATCCTATGAACAAGCGGGCATTTACAGATCCCAGATCAAGCAGGGAAGTCATCGGAAAAGCGATTTTGAAAGGCCTCGAACATCTACGAGACCCGCCGCAAGAAGACCTGCACACGATCATGTACTGGGCTGTCGCTAATGACTACCCTTCCTTGGTTCGAGAGTGCATCAAGATCGACAATTCCATTGTACAGAAGACCAGAGAAAAGGCTAATTGGCTTCATACTGCTGCTCAACATAGTAGCTCTCGGGTCATCCCTTTCGTTTCTGAGGCTGGCGTCTCTGAGATAGCAACAAATGGAATCACTGCAATGCATTGTGCAGCTGTCTCTGGCAGCCTCGCAACAGCAGAGGAGCTCTTCAAATTAGTTGTTACAGGATGCACCGTCAAGACTGCCCACGCAAAGGTTAGGCTTGTCATGCAACAGAATGCCTGGGACAATACCCCGATTTCTATGGCAGTGTCGGGTCGACATAAAGCAGTCAGGGACCTTTTTTGGAAAGAGATTAGATGTCTGGGCACAGTCGACAAGGATTACTTAAGGACCCATGAGGAACAGGCGGTTGAGATACTGGAGGTAGTTGCCCGACTCGAGAAGCCAGGACACGAAGAAACCCTGAGGCATTTACTAGAGCAATGGTGCATGCGAGAGCCTGATCCTCAGATGACTACTCTCGAACTAGCAGTGCGCTGCTCCCAAGCGACGGCAGTCTGGTGGTTGTTGTCCAACGGGGCTTACTCTTCGATGGATATGTCAGCGCTTGGGGTTATCTTCGAATCTAAACCAGGGACCGTCCATGAAAAGATCAACGATATACTTCGAGACAATCCGCCTAATCTGAGGTCCATCGCAAATCCGAATGACGACAGGCCCCCGAAACTGCCACAATGTCGAGAGGGATTAGGAGAGACGTTAAACTTGCATGGCCTTATCATCGACACCTGTTCCTGTGGAGCATACATAGAGAAGAAAGAGACCATCAAGAAGATCATATATGATGAAGGGCCAACTGGCTTGATGGGCAAAGAAAGGCACCATCCACTTCAGCGGTTTCATGATTTTAAGGAATCACTCCCAAAAATTGGAGAGAAACTACATGAAGAGGAGCCACCGCTAAGCGATTCGAGCCACGCAGCCCTCGATCTGCTATTTCGCTGGATCCATTTACCCGTTGCTGAGGTATGACACACTTTGTTTCCGTCATTTGCCGATACTGACGGATTATTCATGAACAGATGCATCTTATGAGAGTAAGCTGTTGACACCTCGCTGTCATATACCCCGTCGCTCACATCATCATGTATAGGACCTCGCCAACCGGCTGTCACACGACTCGGGTGTTTCAGAAATGGACCATGAGTTGATGATGCAGCATTTCAACTCCAGTTGGACTGAGTTATCTGCTGGAGGAGGAGGGAGCTACATGAAACCACGGTGCGCTGTATGTATTGACACAATGGCTGTGTTATTTTAGAGTCGCAACCGTCTATCACATTATTAACTCTACACAGATCAAGTATACTAATAAGCCACTGCACAATTCGGCGGCAGGGCCGAGGCCTAAGCAGAACATGCCATACCTGGCCTTATATGTATGCTATACACCCAGCTAAACCTCCATCTGTGCGTATAGGCTGACTCTAGCTGGGCATAGATGCCATATCTCGGCTTCGGGACCTATGAGGGCAGCAGTAGCAGCCACAAAGATCCATCTGACATACAAAGAAAAGGAATTGACGAATCCATTCAGAGCCGCAGACTGAGACGAATCAACCACAGCCGCATGACCTTGGATCAGTACTACTACTCGGTGCTCACCGACACAGATACAAGGGATCGAGACCAGGTCTTGTCTAAGTTTATTGACGCTGGCAATAAGCAGACCTTAGCTACTAACAACAGTTCCTATGATCCAACGCCTGGTAGACAACGTCGTCGAATATTAATGGTAGACCAATTGTGGCTCTGGGTCGTTGATGAGAGTAGGTCTAACCAGTGCGCATATTGTTCCTGGCAACTAAGCTATCCCTAGAGACTCTCATTACAGCCACGACAGAGAAGGAGCCTGACAATCTTCTGGTGGAAACTATAAGGAAAAACCTGACAGGTGGCGAGACACGAAGCCGTTTTGCACAGCCCCAATCAATCCATATGTTCATCGAACAGATTTTAGGTATCACGACTGGGTTCTTCGAGTGGCCAATAGTTGGTCTAAAGACTCCACTAGATGTCTTTCGAGAGTCCATTCGAAAAGTGGTTGGTTCAGTCCGCCGTGATAGATATACAGCTTCACATACTAAAGATTTATCAGGCAAATGACGAAGCAGAACTGTTCAAGGTTTTCCATGAGGCTCTCGAGGCAGAGCGAGGACAGCAACACGAGTCTACACACCGAGCTGGACATGCAGTCAAGGTGATGCCATCAAATCCATACCACATCATCTCTCCCGAAACTACCCTTTTGGAAAAAATACGCGATCTTCGAGATGAACTTCGGATACTCAGCACGCTCGCCGATGACCAAGATGCTGTCTGGAAACAGATGTTGCCTTCTTACACGGCAAATGGCAAACTTCGTTATTATTATCTGTATACACCAGCGGATGCCAAGCACGATCTGGCAGGTTCGATAGCAGAGGCAGAGACAGCGCATGACTCTGTGGGTTCAGTCCAGTCGGAAATCTCACTTCACGGATAACTGATGCAAGCTACAGATTAACTTACTGCTTGATCTGCGCCAGAAACAAGCCAGCATAAAAGAAGCCGAGTTCGGTAGGATTCAAGCTAACGACTCAGCGCGGCAGTCTAACAGCATACTCATTTTCACTATCGTGACAATCATATTCGTAAGTGGCACCAGCAAAAATTAACTAGTAACTACCGCTTACCAGAGAGCACAGCTTCCGCTGTCCTTTCTCTCATCTCTATTCGCGCTCGATGTCTCCAGTTTTCCCCACGAATCTGGTGATCTCAAGTATCAAGGATGGTGGCTTTTCCCTATTCTTTGTGAGTCCCACGCACAAGCGAAGTTAGGAACCAACGCTGACTTTGTCAAACAGTTGGTGTAACCGCTATCGTCTCTGTTCCAACTATCATATTGGCGTGGAAGATCAATAAAGTTTCCGACTGGTGGAACAAGCTAGAGCCTGGGGTTCAAAACGGACCGAGAATTGAGAGGGAGGCAAACGACATTGGAAGTCACTCAAGTCGACGGAGGCGATTCGGTGGTGCTGTGAGGAAGAGAAACACAGGTGGAGAAGGAATTGCTTGAGCAACTCTAGCTTAAAATCCCAATTCCTTATCACGCTCGTATCCAGAAAAGAAATCACATGATTGCACAGTAAACGTTTTACTTGGCTTCATGCCCGTAAATTGATTAATCTAAGAAATTATCTAATAGAATGTAATAGGTGCAGGTAATAGGTGCATGTACTATGCAACGTATATATCTCCAAACCGTCATATACTCGTTGCTCCGTGTGAGCAGTCAAATTATTTACAGGAAGAAGGCGACAAAACCAGCGGCGAAGAGAGCAGCTCCGACGCTACCTCCGACACGTCCAGCACCGGCAGTGACCTGGGTGGGGGTGGTGGCAGGAGGAGCAGGGTAGGTCTCAGCAGGCTTGCTAGGAGCAGGGACAACGGGAGCAGTCTCGGCAGGCTTGCTAGGAGCAGGAGGCTGAGGGTAGCTAGGGTGAGACTCCGCGGGAGGCTGAGCAGGCTGGGTCTCCTTGGGGGGTTGAGGAGCAGGAGGTTGAGCGGGGTGAGTCTCCTTGGGGGGAGTGACGCCAGGCTGAGTCTCCTTGGGGGGAGCGGGGTAGGTCTCCTTAGGAGGTTGAGGGGCAGGAGGCTGAGGATAGCTGGGGTGAGACTCCTTGGGGGGCTGAGGAGCAGGAGGCTGAGGGTAGCTGGGGTGAGACTCCTTAGGAGGCTGAGGCTTAGGAGGAGTCCATGTTCCGTTACCGGGGTGAGGAGGAGGAACAACGATGGGCTGAGTCTCCTTGGGAGGAACAGGGACAACGTGAGTCTCAGTCACAGGGCAGACGGTGGTAGACACAGCGTAGGTCTCGGTGGTGACATGGGGCTTCTCAGGGCAGTTGGTGACCTCAGGAGGGCACTTGGTGACAGTGTGGACCTTGGTGGTGTAGACAGTTGAGGTTGTCAGCTTGGTGGTAGTCTCGTGGACAGGAGGAACGACGTGAGTCTCGGTCACGGGGCAGACAGTCGTAGAGACGGGGATGGTCTCAGTGGTGACGTGAGGCTTCTCGGGGCAGTCGGTAACCTCAGGAGGGCACTTAGTGACAGTGTGCACCTTGGTGGTGTAGATAGTGGAGGTGGTCAACTTGGTAGTCTCCTGGTGGGGAGGGTACACAGAAGAAGGATGCTCCTCAGTCACAGGGCAGATGGTGGTTGAGACGGGAATAGTCACGGTGGTGACGTGAGGGCCAACAGGGCAGTTGGTGACCTCAGGAGGACACTTAGTGACAGTCTGGACCTGAGTGGTGTAGATGGTTGAGGTGGTCCACTTAGAGGTCTCGGGGTAGCCAGGCTTGGTGTACGAAGGCTTGGTGTAGGTTGGCTTAGTGTAAGAAGGCTTCGTGTAAGTGGGAGGCAGGTAACCAGTCTCAGTTGAGGTACCCTCAGCAGGGAGAGTGTCGCTGGGAGGAAGGTAAGGTGTCTCAGTAGAGCTCTCAGCAGAAGGAAGAGTCTCGGTGGGAGGGAGGTAAGGAGTCTCGGTTGAGCTGTGCTCCTCGGGCTGGGTCTCGGAAGGAGGAGGGTAGACGTCAGTTGTCTCCTCGGGGGGAGGATAGACGTCAGTTGTCTCCTCAGGAGGAGTGTAAGCGCTGGTGGTCTCCTCAGGGGGAGGGTAGACACCAGTGGTCTTCTCGGGGGGAGGGTAGATGTCGGTGCTCTTCTCAGGAGGGGGATAGACATCAGTGCTCTTCTCGGGAGGAGGATAGACGTCGGTGCTCTTCTCAGGAGGAGGGTAAACGCCGGTAGGCTGAGTCTCCTCAGGAGGAGTCACAGGCTTGGTCTCCTCGGGGGGAGGATAGGCACCACCGTTGGAAGGCTTAGTAGCCTCGGGGGGAGGGTACTCGTTAGAAGGCTTGGTGGAAGGCTTCTCGACGGCAGGAGGAGGGTAGGCACCGTTTCCAGGCGCCGGGGGAGTATACTCGGTATCAGGGACAGCGGGATACTCCTCCTGTCCAGGAACAGGGTAATGCCTCTCGACAACGGCAGCATTAGCCAGGCTGACAGCCGCACTGAGAATAACGAGACCTCGCATCTTGATAGATTTTGTTTAACGAATGCTATAAACGAGTGAAGCGGTTGGTTAAACGAAAGGTGGGTGAAGAAAAGAGCCGGAAACAAATATTTCTGGGGGAATCACCCAAGACTCTTATACTCGATGCAAGGTGTTTGGCCCCTCCCCCCTTGACAAAACACCCCAGGATCTTATCATCTTGGCTCCCTCGTGTCGTATCGGCCCAACTGCGCATGTACCTGTAAGGCCAGAAAAGAAATACGGGCTCTTCTCCATAGTTGATCCCGGTAACGTGATGTAATAGCAGCAGGAAAAAAGGGTTGGTTGGGTAAACTTGTACGGTGGACCTCCTTCTGCGGGCGGCTCACAAAGGATCCATAATAAATTACATCCATGCTCAAGATCACGATGTTGGCGTGCGACCGTATGAACAAGTTCGGATGTGACGGAGCACACGTCGTGTTCGTCTATTACGGTTGGTTGGTGCACGGTGCAGGGAAAAAAACGTTTGGTTGAGCCGCTCGAGTACGTCCGATAGGCTACCAGAGCGTTTCGCCGTTTTTTTTAGATAGAGTTAATCAAAACACGCCGCTTGGTTACGACCTTTCAGGAACAGGAACCGTATTACCCGTAATTTTTTGAGTCACTAGAGTCAGCCTGCGGGGTAACGTTGACCACACCTGCGTTAGCTCTGTACTTGGCTGGTCATGATCTGACGCGGGCTGTAGTGCTGTCTCAGTGGTCTGCCGTGCCGGTACTCCCTTGACTCCCTACCTATGAATTCACTGATGAAGGGGGGGGGGGGGCTTTTTGGTGATCTGCAGCCCCTGCCATGTTGCCTGGCCAAGTGGTCTTGAGTCTTCTGGTTGATTCGTGGGGCTCTCGTATACAAAATCGCTGCCCTTGGCGTACGTGCTTGACGCCCCTACATACACGAGGCGGAAAAAAAGAGGTTCCCTGTAGATCGCTGCTTATCTCCCCACTCTGGACTAAAACCTCGCACTGAATCTCGAGGTTGGCCAGCAGAACAAAGGGATTGTTGCATAAGACACAGTGGAGAAGATGCTGTGCTGTCTCGGAGTATGTCAGCCAAACAATGTCTTTTGTTGATGCTGTTGGTGTAGCATCAGGCATAATCCACTCTGGATGATCAAGGTAGCATTTGGAGGCGAGTTCCGTTTAATCCTTGTTTGGCAATCATAGTCGGTTGATGACAAGACGATGCCGAGAGAAGGGCGGCGGGCGGGAAAGTTACGATTGATATCCTTGCATGGCTGTTCTCACTCTAGTCACTCACTGTTGGGAACTCCTTTTCCATCGAGTCAGCATGTCGACACTCTTCGCACCGTCCAATACGGTATTTTCTTATTACCGATAAAGCCCACTGGAGTCTGTGCATCCCTGTTCCTGCATTCGCGTACAGTATCACTCGGCTGGCGCTTGCATACAAGCAAGGTGAGTTGTTCAATTGTGAACAACGCTCTCTCCGTACATAAACGCCGGCAACCATTGGCGTAGAACCTTCAAAGTGAAATTATCACAGTTTGGACTGGCGCAGTTGCAACCATTCGGCAGATTAATTCTGACTGCTTCTAGCGGGCGGCATTTCGAAATAGCGCCATCACCGAGTTGAATTTCCACAGCAGAAAATCTTATTAAGCTTCAGGGTAGTAATTGTCAACATCGTACCATGTTCCTTGTCAAGGTTCGGAGTTTGCTGCCGAGGACAGAACAAAGAGTTTGGCAGTTGGTCTTGGCTCCACGCGACAAGCGGAGCCCGAAACCGTTTTGCCCGACAGGAATGCGGGAATCGAAGACAATCGATCGGGTATATCCTCAGTTTTCTAGCTGTTCAAAATCAAGGATCAAAAAATGGACCGTTATTGTAACGGTCCAAGCGGCTCAAAATCCAAGATATTCGAAAGTTGGTTCCAAGATCTTGGATATTCGTTGTCGATGAGGCTTTTTTATCCAATCGTTGACGTCAAGTTGCCTCATTTTTATGCAACTAATTCATAAATACGAAGTCTTGAGTCTAAGGCTAAATGAGGGCTGCAGACTGCAGCGAAGATCGAGGATATCGGCAATACGGGTTACGGAAAAGGGGAGAACCAAAATTCAATTGAATTTGGTCCTTTCTTGAGATACCGTGCTTTCTTGCCGTCAGCTGTAGGCAAGGTAAGGCTGTTGAGGTCCAGTGTCCAAGCTTGAGCTGTCAATGCCCAGCTCGTAACCTTTTTTGCATTTTAATCTGGCTATTTTTACACAGGCGAAATTACAGAAAGGCAATTCGTCCCGCCGTATAGCAAACAACTTTGATGTCCAACCCAAAAATCCGTATTCCACCTCAGTGTGACCATGTCTCGTGCGACCCATGGATGCTGATGTGACATTCCCAATCGAGTTGCACAGTCTCCACCTCCTTTTTTCTCCCTCCTTCTTTTGCTCAACACCATCTTCCCCGTATTGCAGAAGTTCCTGCATTTCATTTCACCAGAATCAAATTTGTTCCTCTCGAGTCTCCAGAACCAACGAGAACTGCGATCGACAGGGGGTGGTTTCATGTGCGTGGCCCACCGTTCAGTGACGAATGAGGCTTGACTCTGCAGAGGTTAGCGCTCGTATTCCTCCGTCCTCACCACTGCCAATGCGGGTAAGCGGAATATGAGAAGCCGAGGCTCCGTCGATGACTCGGCCGAACCATAAATATGGCTATACGAGCCAGCTTTTTGGTCTTGAAATTACTTGGTTTGTTTGCTCATCGCTCGATACTATGACGTGAGATTTTATGAGTGAAGCTTGAGCTGACTGGTTGTGAATGATCCGCTTTGGTGCCACTCCGTAGGTGACCTCTAAGCCCAGGTGAGTGATGAGTGATGAGTGAATTGCTCAGTTCCCTGCTTTTCAATCAAGCTCATTATAGTTTCACGGATTTTGTCTTTTGGACTTGGCCAGAATACTGAAGAGCTATTTGTGATGAGATTAAATGAGATTGAGGCAAGAACGAATGAAATTGAGTCGACAAGGCAGCTACAATCAAACACAGTCGGGTAAGCTGCAGCGCATAAAGCTGTCAAGACAGGATGAAACTGTTACCAGCGCATCAAGGTATTACACTTAGGTGAATGGCTTTCATGAGCAGGTAAGCCTTAATAAGTATTAGAAACTGGACTTTTGTTATTTCGTTCTTAACTGAATTGAACAGTGAGACAGCATGCTGCTGCTGTCTTGACTCAGTCTCCATTAGCTACAATATGTGGATAAGAAAAACCTCCAGTATAGAGGAGATTGTGCTTGGCTTATTAGTGTGTTAAAGCTTAAAGACCTTTCTCTATATAATAGCTATATACTTAGCTCTAAAAATTCAGATCCAGAGTATATGGATATCTGCTCGGTGCTGGAACAGCCTGTTTTACGAACACTGTCCAGGGTAGGCTTTAGCAGTGTTTACCATCTTACGTTTACAAACTTGACCATCAGCGGGATACCGGAAATATGTAAACTAATATTTTATCCGTAAATTGTTACAAGTACGGCATTTCTTATATTTTGTAATTTTAAGATTAAATAAAGTTCACTCTGCTTACCTAGTTGATATTGGCTTAGTACAATTGACTGATCAAGAATATGTCACCTAGGATTATTTTCCAACTCATAAACTCACTCAGCGCAATTTATTTCTTACCTGTAATGTGTCACAAACCACCAGCGTTGTCCCGCTACAACAGTACAACAGCCTCTTCATCCTGCGGCTTCTTGTGTGCGAATGACTGGCCACCAGCCAAGACTGAAATGGACTGACGGCTGGTATCCCCAGGAACAGCTTGGAAGAGTATGCGGAGCACAACATCTCATTAATGTTTTCAATAGTCACAAGCACGGCTACATGGTTTGCTTGTGGCTACTCAATATCAACCATGGCTGAAGGTCTGGAACGATTGAATCTATGCCAAGAGTCTGCTTCGCCATACGTGCCTGGTTCCAACAGGCATTACCCCCGATCCACGTTTCTTCATTGAGTCTGCCCATCTCAACACTCAACCAACAATCATTGCTAACTAATCGTTCAGATCGAAATCGTCGGTCCCGACGATCAAGTTACCAGGTAATTCTTCAGTCTGCCTCTCTTTTGGTAAACGACTCGTCACATCGCCCCCGCGCCGTGGCGTCGACAATAGCTTTTAGTTCCTGGGCGCAAAGCCTCGTGCAGACAAACAGCTCTTAGACCCATTCTAACGTCGCACAGGGCCGTTAGCCCGGGGCCTTGTTTGTCCTGACAATAGCTGTGGCTGGTGTCTAGAGAGAATGCGGATAAGATCGCCTATTGTCAGATCGTGGTGGGAGACCCGATGATTGACGAGATCATTCCCGAATTCCATTTTGGCTTTGGTCTGGTTTCCGTGTTGCTGGAAACCAATCATGTATCAGCGATTGTCCCTGGGGAAGTATGGGTTGGTAACACTACTTGTGGCAAACCTTGGTCTTAGCATTGTGAGGCGGAAGATTGTCACGTCTGCGAGCCGTAAGAAATATAGCAATAAGATAAATCTAATGCACCTGCTTCACGGCCAAAGATATATAAGAAGAGGATAATAGTGGCGACTATGTAGTCTGCCATGTCGGTTCCTGGCCGATGAGGCGTCTAGGAATGCACCCCATTCTCAACTTCAGCCCTAGCGTAATACTTCCACCAACGTCAATGTCTTAGCACAACAGAAACCAACCAGGTATTCGGCAACATCCCATCGGAATTCCCGATCCGCTCTAGACCCAACAGATTGGGTGGTTGTACCTGTGATACAATTCACAGCATCAGATGCATGCAGGGTTGGACAAATCTGCAGCCACTGCCGAAGTGCCACAAAGTATCCTTGGGTTTCACAGCATGCTTATAACGCTGTGCGACCCTCCTTCCCGTTCTCCGTTCTCCTTTTTGGCGACTTCATATCACCATGACGCTCAGCAGGCGGTTTCTCATCTTAGGGACAATATGCCTGCTGTACGGTACAGCGACGGCTCAA